GACTGGAGTTTCAACTCAGGACTTTGCAATTGCTATCCAGATGCTCTACCACTTGAGCAACTACCTAGCCCCATTCTTCAGATTTTATCCCTGAGTCTTCATCTCAAGCAATTCTTACCTCACCTCCAACATTAACACCAAAGAATTTTATTTGGTCCCACTATTAAATGATCGGTCACTTTATATACATATATATATATATATATATATGTACATACACATATACATATATATATACACATATACATATATACATATATATATATGTATACCCCCCCACACACAGACACACATATCAGGGCTTCATGCTTTCTAGGCAGGCTCTCTACTACTTGAACCACTCTGCCAGCCCTTTTTTTTTGTGTTGGGTATTTTAGAGACAGCATGTCATAAACTATTTGCCAGGGCTGGTTTCAAAGCTTGATCCTCCTGATATCTACTTAGGTATGAGCCACCAGTGCCTAGCTTTGTCACAAAATATTTTTACATTAAAATGCTAATATATAACATACAAGTACTATAAAAATATTATTACAAATTATCATATATCCCAAACCCAGTTCAAGAAGTAAAATTTTACTAATACCATTTAGTAAGAGTGATCCAGTAGAGACTCTATTTGCCACTCTTTTGTAACTAGTTATCATGTGACTATGTGTAGTCTTACAGCAATCATACATTTCTCTAAACACTGTTGCTTAATTTTGCATACATATGTATATTATAAAAATGTTGCCACATTTTCTGAGATGTTTTATCTTTTGATTTTCTCAACATGGTGTTATTAAATTTTTTATATTAATAAGAAAGCAGTATTTCATTCATTTCCATTTAATTCTCATGTAAGTTCATTTTGATAAAATCACAAATTCTATGTCATGATTATACCACTAGACCACAATTTATACATCCATTTGCTTATAGAAATTTCACTTGTTTCTAGTCTGAACACAAACACATGCATATTATACATACATGAATATATTGATGTGTTTGTGCTACACATAAATTACAAATTGATGTAATGAATATTTTGTATATTACCCTTTAAACTATTCAGTTACTCTGCATTCTGCTTACATATTTTTTATCAGGAATCACAATCCAGGACAATTTTAAATTTGTTCCTCTGCTAGGGAGATTTTAGATTTCATAAGTGGAATGATTTTCAAACCCAATCTTGCATAAACTTTCAAATGTAACTACAAATTTTCAAGAAAATTTTTTTTCTATTTAGAACCAAGACTAAGACAAATGTATTTCTTTGAGATTTCCCTTTGAGGGGTCCTTTGTTAAGATGATAAAATTGCTTCTGTTTAATTTGGAAAATCTCAGCTATTAATTAAATTTCTTCACAGTCATAAAAATCTGTTCTGGTCCATTTTGTAGTAACATTGTAAATTCTACTTGGCATCTTGAAGCCAACTGATATTTTATAAACAGCCTGGTGCTTTGTCATATTCCTATAGACACTGTCTTAAAACTCTGGCTATTTTCAAATTTAAATAAACTTAAAATCACTCTCTGCTGTTGTATTAATTATATTTCAAATGCAACTTATAAAAATTCTATGTGAACCAAAAAACTTTATACACTTGAAGGTTTGATTTTAACATTCAGCAATACAATGAAATAAGCCTTGTTCAGTCATGATTTTTTTCAATCAAAACTGTCCTTTTAGACACTATTTTTAATCTGCTCTCAGTGATTCAAGTCTCTAGTAATCTAGCATACTTTATTTAAAAATTTTCAAAGTTACTAGCAAAAGGTAACAATTAAAAATCTGTAACATTGTATTAAATTTTTGCAATGAATAAAACATGCTACTTGTTGGTCAGTCCAGAAACCCAGGTATGGTATGGGAATGTGGAGTAATTGAAGTCCTTCAGAGACTTGAGTCTGGACTCAGATGGGCAAGGCCTATCAAACCCATTAGTCCATGTGACAGTGAACAAGACACAGTCATCATGAACACTGCCACACTGCTGTGGAAAGACTAAAGATGCCAGACAAGTCTGGCTTCACATCTGGTACTACTACTTAGTAGCTTTCTCTTCTGTAAATGAATAGTTATACTTATCTCACATGATATTATGGGGATTAACTGAATTAATAAATACTGAAGAACTAGAACAGAACCTGGTCCACAGTAGCCATAAATAATAGTCAATAGGTTCCCCAACATGTAACAAAACCAAACTAATTTTATGAATGAGGGAGAACCAGAAAATTAATAATAATAAAAAGATTTGATGAGGAAACAATGAATAATAGCTTAAAATTTTTTCTTGTCTAGTTTTTGTGATGATTTTATTAACATATAATAGTTGTACAGGGGTATACATTGTGTTACTTACATATGTGCTTACAGTATATTTTAGATTTGTCCCCTCCAGTATTCTCCCTTTTACCTTCTCCTCCCTTCTTACTTATTTATTTATTATTGTTGTGTTAGGTGGGGGTATGTTGTGACATTTGCAAAAGTTCTTACAATATATCAAATATATAATACTTAAATTAACTCTCTTCACTATTCTCCTTTATCTCTTCTCCTCATTCCTGGAACAATTTCAACAAGTATCACTTATCCATTTATATACATGTGTCCACAGTATTTGCACTATATTCACCTTTCCATGCCCTTTCCCTACCTCCTCCCCCCTCTCACTGGTACCCTCCCAGGCAGGACCTTTTTAATCATTGTAATGAAGGCACAATTTATTTGGAATGAAATTGACCAAATAAAAACAAAATGTTTCTTAATGTAATGTAATGACCTTATTTATCTATTTATTTTGAACAATAGTCCTTTGGAAGGAAATAGTATAGCTAAATCCTCACATTGTTTTATGAAAATAGAGCCTAATTGGGTTAAAGATTTAAATGTCAAAAAGTTTAAAAGTAAAGGCATAAAGATATCAGAAACATGTATAGATTTTTTAAAATAATTTTTGTATAAAAAAACTGACTAGCAGGACACAATGTCTTGTTACCACAAATAGATACATTGATAAGTCTGACAACAAAAAAAATTTAAATGTTTAGATTGCATAGTACAAAGTAAAAAAAATAGAGATTTTTTGGCAACATATACGATAAGAAAATAGCAATTAGTATGTGAAGAGCTATTATAAAAAGTGGAAAGTACTAAATTTAAAAATTGGCAAAATAATATGTACTGGCTTCAGAAAGATAAATGCAAATGAACAAAAATATTTAAGCTGTGCTCATCCACATTCATGATTTTTAGAATGTAAATTCAAACTATATGAAATGAAAATGTTAGACAACACTCATGATATTTTATAATTTTAGCCATATGTGTGGTAAAGCAGGCATATACATTTACTTGCCTCCATTGTAAATTATGGGAATGAAATTGGAGTATTAATTCAAAACTTTTAGGAATGTAAGCAGAGAGAAGATAGAACTACTTGCATACCTGCAGTTAGCACTATTCACAAAAGCCAAGCTTTGGAAATACCTCAGATGACCTACAACTCTACAACCACTGGATGGATTATATATATATATATATATATATATATATATATATATATATATATATATATGCATGTATGCATGTATTTACTCAGTGATGAAAAGTATGAAATTACATTGTTTGCAGGTAAATGGAAGGAACTGGAGATCATCATGTTAAGTCAAGTACACCAGGCTCAGAAGGACAAAGGTCACATTTTCCCTCATATGTGACAGCTAGACCGAAAAGATGAATATATACTTAAACACATAAATGGTCTTATGTACCTGTCCAGGAGAAAAAGAGAGAGAGAGAGAAAGGGGGAGGGAGAGAGAGAGAGAGAGAGAGCATTTGTGGTTCTGTGTGAAGGGCTACAGGGAGGAAGGAGAGTGATAGAGTATAACATTGAAATACATTGCGTTGTTGCATCATTGCTTCAGTCGGTGTGTATGAGACAGCATAATCAAGTGCCTTGCAAGCTATTGAGTAATAGGGGAGCAGAGTGATAGAGAAAGATTAAGTAATAGTGGGGGTTAATCTGAATGAAGTACTACAAGTGTGTGTGTGTGTGTGAGTGTGTGTGTGTGTGAAATGCCAAAGCAAAACCCCCTTGAGCAACTAAAATACACTTTAAAAAATGAAGGACTGGAAAGTAAAATAGGGAGGGTACCAGTGCAAGGGGAGAGGGTAAATGGATAGGATGAAGAATGGTTATACTTTGTATATGTGTAAACATTGTAAAATGAAACCTGCTGAAGTTGTTCTAAGAAGGGGAGCAGGGAGAATGATGGAGTGGGTGAATCTAATTAAGATATATTATAAGCACATATGTATATGTCACAAAGAAAACTCCCTGTACAATACATGCTAATTTTAAAAACTTTTAAACATATATATCTTGGTCCTCAAACTGAAAGCACAACACATTCAAGAATTTTCATTGTAGTATTATCCACACATATTTTTTAAAGTCCTGGATAAATCTAAACATTCATGATAGAGATATCTTAAAAATTAATAAGGCTACTTCCTTAATATCATGTGCTGTTAGTCATTAAAGTGAAAACAGAGAACTATAATGTGTAAATTCAGAATGATTTATGAGTTATTTTGAGGGGAAAATATAATTTTTTGTTGTAAACTTCCATTTGTGCAAAAATTATAAATGTAGTTCTAACATATGTATTAAAATTTTTCCTGAGAGAAATTTTTAAAATGTTGAGTAGAATTAGATATAAAAAATATCATGTCATGCTTTTCTGGGTTATTTGAAAGTTTCTCTATTCTCATGTATATTCTACTTTAATTTTTTAAAATGAATTCATTAATATAATTACATAAATACAAGAATTATAATGGACTAAAATTAAATTAATGTCACTAGGAGCCCGCAGATAATTTTAGGTGTTCTACAGTATGTCCATACTATGTGCTTTTGAATGTAAACTGTCAAAACTTGACCTGCTTGAGATGAAATGGTGCATTCATTGGTGTCTGATGAGTTTTATTTTCCCCCCAGACAAAGCCAAAGGAAGATCAAGAGCAGGGACCCACTTTGATTCAGCCCGGAGACGGAGCCGAGCAGTGCTTTATCACATCTCTGGACACCTGCAAAGAAGAGAAAAGAACAAATTGAAAATAAATAATGTAGGTGGCATGTGTGTACATTATGAATGCTAGGGTTTCCCTTGGTGGCAATGTTTGATTCACTATAGAAAGGCTCCAATTACTCATTTATTGGCTTTCCTAGATTTTTTTTTCTACTTTGGCCATAAAAGACAAACTGGGAAAGGTCAGTAGTCATGAGGCATTTCTGCAATAAAAGTGCTTAATCATAGTGTTATCACAGCACAGAGATTAGAATATTGCAGTGCAGTACAAATGGTACTGGGAATGCTGCAGACGAGGACACACTGCTTACATTTTATGAAACAAGATGATGCAGCAAGTCATGTCACACATTCGTAGTTTGTTACTTAACATCCCTCTAATTTAATTTTAGTTTCACCTGTTTTACACTTTGTCTAATATCTCTTAACGCTTTATCCAAAGGGACCATGAACAAATCAAAGTCATTACTGCATTTAAAAATTTACATTTTGTACAAAACACTGTTGGAAATTTCACACAGTGAAATATTAGATCTGAAATTGCATAACATGTATTACATAGTTCTATGGAAAGATGCACTTTTTGCAAATTACAGTAGGGCTGCTTTCTGAAACCTGGTACTTACCTATCAAAAGCCACAGCCAGTAACTGTGCTTAAGGATTTCATTCTTAATTGGCTTTTAGCAAAAAGAGGCTTAACATACATAAAGGAGCCCAGAACAATGCCTGTTTAGTTGTACATGTTCAAAGGTAATTTTTTAAATGTGGTTAATGTTGTTAACTTACATCATGGAATCATCAGAACATATGGGGAGGTGCAGTTGTGACTATAAGCAGTAGATTGAGCACCGGTTTACCTTGCCAATGACACTAGAATTGATCACATCAAACAACCACAGCTATTTTGGAATTGATCTAAAATCCAGACGTTCTGGGAGTTAAGGAAATAAGGGATTCTTTGGTGTCTTGCTTTTACAGAGTAAGATCTGGGACTTTGCAATCTTTCATATAAATGTTTAATAACATCAGACGTGCAAAGTATCCATTCATCTAATTGCAAAGAACAAAGAAAGATATATAAACCCAGAGTGTGAAGAACAGACATGAAGGTGCTCAAGCCTGCTGCAGTGTGATACCTTTCTGGAACCCAGAACGGGATATTTTGATCTATTTATATTCCAAGACCATCTGCCATTCCTTTGCTGGTCTGCCATATATCACTGTGAAGAGTCACATACTGTTTTCTTTTTTTTCCTGACTCAATATGAAGATTTTCTATAGACTGCCTGTGAGTTAGTGTCACATTGATTTCTGAGAGTCCATGGAGAGACTTAACCACTTCATCTATGGTTACCACCCCTGGTTCTTATTTACATCCCTCTTAAGTTACAAAGTCAGCCTTGGTGACAGTAAATAAGTTTCAGGAAGAAACAAAGGTAACCACAGCTGGAATGGATTCCACATAAACCAACCAGCAAAGCACTAAAACAAACAAATGTCATCCGGAGATTCTGTTATACTGAAAGCTGACACTGTTTTCTAGCTTTGGGTTGAGAATCATTTAAATACAGCAAATATTAGTGAGCTTTAAAATATATTTGCTAAGCCTACTATTTTTCCCTTTGGATTCAATGAAGTACAAAACACCACTTAAAAATCTGATTTTAAAAAATCATAACTCCCACTGCTTAATTGCTTAATTGCTGCTCATTTTTCAGAAGTATAAACATTAAGGTGGAGCATTAAAATAATACGTAGTAATTAAGGATGTCTAAGCAACACAGTGACTCTGATACTACAGGTAAATCTAACTTGTGAAACCAACTGTGGGAGCAAGACTGGCCCTCTTCGCCATCTTTTTTTCCAGGAGAACAGAGCAGAATGGCTAAAAGAGATAGCAGAAAGAAAAGGAAGAAAAGAAAATCATCTAGATACTTTATCCACTAAACAAACTTTGGGGAGTTCTGCCCATAATAGCATTTGCACACACAAAGAAGAATTATTAATATATTATTGTCCTAGCTATTTAAAAATATAATTTTTAAATTTTTCTTTTACTTCCATCATATTATTTGATTCTTACAACAAGCCAATACTGGGTATATTTTTATTAGTACCATTTTAATGGTGGTAAAAAAAAAAACCTAACTTACTCAAGAGCTCAAAAGTAGAAACAGCAGTTATGGGACTCAGCCCTTAACCTTCTGACTAAAACCCACCGTTTTGCCCCTACCTTCCTTCTCCTGTGAGTCAGTCTTATGAAACAGACCCAAATGCTTCACCCATAGACAAATGAACTCATCAGGCCATTGACTTACATCCTCAAACTTTAGTTGAGCCAGTGTTAACCCTGGCTCTAACTTTGCCTGGTACATCTTAGAAGGGGATTTAATTTCTCCATTCCTTGATTTATTATTCTTGTCTGTTAAATAAGAGTGGAATGAGGCAAGTGTTTCCAACACAAAGAAATGTAAAGACCAGATGAGAAAGTCCAAAATTTGAAAGGAAAGTGCTGTAAATGCATAAGTATTACCAGGGAGGGGGGTCTTTCTTGATCATCAAAGGCATATACAAGGCACCTGGCTAACCCAGCATAGTGACTTTAGAGACATTTTCCTACCCTCCTGCTCATTCAAGGATGTCTCAAAAAAATGTTGCAAAGATGACTTAGGAAACAGTTACCTTAATTAGGCATTGGAATTGAATATTCTGTTTGAATGAGTCATAGGAAAGAGCTCAAACAACTAAAAAACAATTGGTACCAAAGTAACGTACTTCAAAATTAGTAACTAAAATATACCTAAAGTCTAGGCTTAGTGGTTGTATTATTCCTCAGGCAAACTCCATATGTTTGAGGGATATAAATATTATGACTTCTCCCCTCCCCCCCACCATATCTGACAGCACAATTTTACAAATGTGTATTTTTTTTCAATTGTAAGAAATTTCCTTTTGTTCAAAAAGATTTCCTAAAACTTTACAAATCTGTGGTGGTTTAAAAAATTTCATAGCGCTTTACAAATACTATGCTGGGAGTAGAGGAACATCTATTTTTTTTTTTTTTTGGCTCAGGTGATTATGTAAAGATAATGGGCAGAATGTCAATTAACTCTTTGAAATTTAAGTTGAACCTAAGCTGTATTGCATTCTCAGTATAGTTTTAAAATGAGTCAATAATAATTTTAAATAATATGCTTTAAGTGTTCTATAAAAATGAAATAGTGAAATTCATTTTTTAGTTTGTGAAAATCACTAATGTGTATCTGGACTTATGCATCAGCATCCAAATGCTTGAGGTAATTAACATAATCCACAAAAACTCCTTACTTTGTGAGTTTTCCCAATTGTTAACATGGACCTGGCTTTTCTCTCAAACAAGGTAACATTTTAATTTATGCATATAATGTAAAAATATTTATTTGGGTAGAAAAATTAAGTGTTCCCCCAATATCTCTGATAATTTCTTATCATAGTAAATACTTAGGAAAATTGATATTAGAATCTGTCATGTACTGTTATAACCAGAAATGCTCATTGACTTTGAGGACTCCCTGTGCTGTATACCTGCCTGAATTTTGGTGAGAAGCCCAACAAGAGAACGTCTTCTCTTCTCAGTTTTATACTATAGTCTACCTCAAAACCTGAGAATGATGCGAAAGAGGCAGGTCATACATCAGGGCATTGGATGGGACAAAGATGCAATGGTAGATGGACACCAAAGAACCACCTGGAAGAGGTGAAGCAGTGTCTCTCAAAGGAGTACCAGTATGGTACACCATGACATAGCTATATGGGTTAAGAGATAATATCCACAGGAAGTAGACACATGTTTTGGGAATGCCTACTAGAGAGAGGCCAGCCAGGGATTGTGCTGATACTAAAGTAGCAGAACTTTTTAAGTATAGAAGGTCACAATTAAGAGCTAAATGTTCCTGATCTCTCTTGACACTTCTTGAGTCTTCAGGCACTTCAGGGATCCCTGTGTATACCACTTTAATCTGCCCTTCCCTCAGTGAATGAGGCAAGAAAACAACACTGTGACCTGCAAGTAATATGTATCCAAGATCTTTAAACTAGTCTGTTAATTCAACTTAACTTTCGAATTTAAGTTTTCATTACCTATCTTGCATTTCTCATTAATTGAGGTCAAAGCAAGGTCTGCAAGTATCTGGTCACGGGCTTGTCAAATTTCCACACATGCTGTTATTGAACTTCCCTTTGTCTCATCTCACAGCAAAAAGGGAATTGTTCATCAATTTGGACTTCTTTCAAAGTGAAGTGCATTTGCAGTTATCAAAAACTCCAGCTATTCTTCTGCATTTAATCAGCAGTACAGTGAACAGTGCCTTCCTCCTTCAATGACTTAAATAACCTTAAGTGACTGTTTCTTACTTTACCATCTAACCAAGAGCTAGTCAGTATCTGAATGTATCCATTTTCATCAAATAAATGAAGTTTGGGGTCCCAACTGGAAATGTTGCCAAGTGGTGCAATGCACAATTGCATATACAACCTGATTATGTTTTTGAAGGAAATATAAACAGTTTTTTATGGTAGATTATTGGTCATCTCTGTCCTTTCTAGAAAAAAAAAACCCATCTTTCCTGACATAAGCAGAATTTCAGGTCATATATTCCTTCCATAATGACTGTCATCTGAAATCTATACATATACAGAATGTCCTCGTGGCAAAAAGCATATAGATATATGTGTTGTGTTTATAATGTGTGTAGGGTTATACTTGCAACTGTGGATAATTTTAGATGACATTTGAGATAATGTCATCTGAAAGATAATGGTCTTGTGTTTTAATGAACAAAATCTGAATTACTTATTTACCATTCATGACAAAAATCTGCACATTCCTGTTATTTATAACAAAGATCTCTGCTCAATATTAGAACAGTCTTACACTGCATAATGACAGTAATGCATTCTGGGAAATGTATCATTAGGTGATTTTATCATTGGGTACACATCAAAAAGTGTGCTTACACCAATCTAGGTAGTATAGTTTAATTACTCAACATAGCTTCTTGATACAATACATGCTGCTGGTGTAACACTGAATACTATTTATGATAAGCTTTCTTATGCAAGTGCATACTATAAAATATCAATAAAAGTATGTATAGAAAATACATTGCACGTTCTATACTTTTACATTTCTGACAGCACAAAAAGTTTATTTACATCACAAACAGGTAAAAGGTATGATTACAATGGCTACAGTGTCACTAGGTGATAGGAATGTTTCTGTTCCATTGGAATCTTATGTAATGACCTTTGTATAGAAAGTCCATCCTTGGTTGAAATGTAGTTAGGCAACACATAACTATTTATACATGTCAAGTTTTAGAAGTCACTTGTAAAATATATTAATATTGTGTGCATAAATGATTCTCTTCCTAGAAGCATGTATTTAAGGTTGTGCAATCTTTGTTTCTAATATGTTTCTTTCCCCTCTTTTCTTTTTATCTTATCCACAGAACGTTTTTGTAGATAAACCAGCATTTCCGGAGTACAAAGTTTCTGATGCAAAAAAGTCCAAATTCATACTTTTGCATTTTAGCACTTTTAAAGCTGGTTGGGACTGGCTTATTTTGTTGGCGACGTTTTATGTTGCCGTGACAGTACCTTATAATGTTTGCTTTATTGGCAATGATGACCTGTCCACAACTCGGAGCACAACGGTCAGTGACATTGCAGTGGAGATCCTTTTTATTATAGGTAAGAGCCAACAGCTGCTCTCTAGGAGATTTGCATATGGGAAGTAAGTGTGTACCAGATTCTTCTGACAGGAATTTAAACTAAGATCCATTTGCATGGGCATGACTCAGCCTGTGATGCAAATTTTGGAAAGGCACATATTGGGATTTCTGAAAATTATTTATTCTAGTTTTTCCATTGTTCCTTTATTCAAAGAGATCAAACTGATGTGAATTTCAATACTTATTTTGTCAAGAATGGGGTTTAAAAAAAGACTTAGATGGCTGTTTTGTTTGTATTCACACTTCCTTCATGATACTAAGGAAGTAAAATCAGAGATAGGATTTAGCAAGAACTATCAGTAGTGCTACCAGTGAGTGGTCTCAGAAGACCCTTGTCAAGAAGATCTCAGGTCAAAGAATTGAATGGAGACACACAGATTGCAAAGCAGCAGCAAAATTTTATTGAAAGTGAAGGTAGGATAGTACACTGCAAGAGAATTGAGGTTAAGGCAAGATGGTTCAAGAACCCCAATCTCCTAGTTCAATGGGCAGTTTGCATGTTATAGGGATAAATGGCAGGAAAGGTCTGGTGGTTTCTTCAGGAGGAGCTCAGGTAATTGACAGGCTTCACTGATAAGGTCTTGCTATATAATATGGGGCATTCTGCACATACACTCATACTGATTTCCTAGTTATTAATTGTATGCGTGAGAGGCAACCTATATTCATAGGGTCTTAATTAGGGGCTTTTTTACTAGAGAAGTCAGATTTAGGACAGATTTCCCTTTACCAAGCACATGCCAGTTTCTGTTTTGAACCTGCCAAGAAACTTCATAATTTGAGGAAGTTATAGTTGCAGTTTAGACCACAGGGTAACTACAAAAGAGAGTGCCAAGGACATTACTGAGTGGGGACAAGAAGGAGTCCAGCATAGAGATGACCTGTTGTTAAGAAGGGTTGAGTCTCATGGCAGTTTTTCCTTTCCCTGTTGCTAACCTGCCTTAGTAATGTTCTGATACTGGTTCAGGATGTCCTGGGTGTGTGGTTCTTTATCTTTCCATGCCCTTTCAGAATGTTGATGGTGGTTTCAACAAGTGGCTTGGTTGAAGAAGCATAAAGTTCATAAGTCAATCAGGAGAAGCAATGTATGATTTCAAGAGGCCACATGGGTGTTTGCTAGGGGTATTTATCTCTGGTGTACTGAGAACCTCATCTGACTACACATCTGCTCCAATCTTATAAGCCTTTTCCTTTCCTTTAAATCTTCTTCTTGTTCACACCATAGCCTAATTTTTGCTTACCTACCTAGATCAGATTCTGGCTTTCTTTTAAGAGTCTTATGTGATTGACAGCCTGTGGCCACTGATCCTGCTGCTTTTCCTAGTCTTGGTGATATAGAGTAACATCCTGGTTGTAAAGATAGGAGAATGTTTGGAAAACATCTCAAGCAAGTAGGCAACCAAAGCAGTGAGAAATGGGTCTTAAAAGTTCAAAGAAAAGAAAATAAATAAGTGAAGCAGATCAAAACCTTGTTTGAATGGTGGTAGTTGTTTTCTTGGTGAAGTTCTCAACCTTTGAGGCTGGAGTAGGTTCTGGAACTGAAAGACAGTGAAGTTTAGTGTGCTCTTGGTGTGGTCTCTTCATCACTGCTAACACTGTACCCACTGTGCATTCCTCTCAAAGCCCTGTTAGGACCTCAGCTCCCACCCACCCCTAACATGGTAACTGTAGTATGTTTAGGCCACTAGATGGCAATGTTGTCTAGTCAGGTAGTTTGGTAAAGTTACAGACTTATTTTTTTTTTGATTAAAGATATTTGTTATTAGAAAGTTTTAACCATAAAGAGATCTATTAAATCACTGCTAAATGGCAAATAAACTCATTTCAGTTTGAACAAGAATTTTAAATGAAAGAAAAAGAATTTAAAATGAAGATCATAGACAAATGGGATGTGTCTAAGTGCCAATCTATCGTGGTCTCATATCCTCTCATTTTGCTAACTTTTGGTGTTTCTTGCACTTGTACATGACACACATATCCATTATTGTCTTAAAAACATCACTTCAAAACTCTCAAGAACTTAGTCAATCACCCAACTTGTCCAAGCCTAAGTTTTCTTCCATGTGACATATAGTTCATACAGTTTCAAGAAATAATAGATAAAGTATCTGTTTACCAAACATTTCATCATCTTTTTATGCTGCCATTTACAGCTCTGTCATTGCAGCAAACTTGTGTCTTGAGTTTTCTTTTCCACTCTTCCTGATTTTCAGATACTGGAAAGCCTAAGACTCAGGGGTCATTTCTGATAGTATGTGCTTATTTGTTGATACAACTTGCTTACCCTCATGAGAACTCATTCTCATGACAGAGACATTTTATAAAATTTTGGTTGATTTTGGGGGGGCTAATTTCTTGTACTAAACTGATGAAACCTGTTTTCCCTGATTATTATCCCTCCCTTCTTTTGTGTTTCAATGTCTCTCATTTCTGTAGGCAGCAAGTTGATTATTCCAAAAGGCAGTATGCATCCCTTACTAAACTCATAGCAAAGCAATGGGTGCCCATTTCTATTTTTATGCAATTTAGTTTCTACAAAGATTACTTTAGAATTTGAGGTTTTGGTCTGCCGTAGGATTAGGGTGACTCCTGACTGCTATTCCTCATTGACTGGCTTATTTTATAAGTAGTAAGAATGTTTTTGCTCTTTTGTACTGTTATCTACCTTTTTAGGGAGAGGGATGGGGTCAGTTTAAAAAAGGTGTGAGAAGAGTTTTCATACAGCTAAAAATAATGTTTTAAATGTTTTTCTGTTATTTGCACCAACTCCATACAAATGCTAGGCAATATAATTTTTCAAATGGGAAGTAACTAAATGTTCCATTCAAAAAGAATTTATAGGCAAAATTAAAGTTGAGAGAGGATAGATTTCTTTTGGTGATACACAATTCACTTTAGCATTGTGAATCCCCTAAGAAATCCTGTGATAAGAAATCTATTTAAATGTGATTAATCTACCATCTTGCTGGATTTTCTTTTGCCTCAGAACTCATTCCTCTGCAGACCACTTAATAATACTTTTTCGGCATGACTGACTGAAAAACCTTCTTCCCCAATGGATCTACCAGAAAGAAAATTGTCTGAGTATAGTTTTGTTAGTCAAAACTTCAGTGTGAGTGGTGAGCTTGAAACTCATCTATGTACTCTCTTACTTTTAAACTAAATGCTTGTGTAAGCCACATTCGTTCTTTGCAATCAGTAGGATGCAAGACATGGCTAAGTTACAAAGTTTGAGAATAAAGTTACTTTAATTTGAAAACTATATTTCAGTTACCTGCTGATTTGAAGACTTATGGGAATGAAAAATAAGAAGTAACGTAATAATAATTTATCTAATCTAATCTCTCTTATTTTATAGGTGGGAAAATTGAAGGCTAGGGTACAGAATTTACTTATGGCACACTTAGATCTCCAGGTAGTTGCACAGGTTTTTTTGTTTGAGAGTTTATAGTTAATATAATTCCATTTTATAAACAAATTTCACTGAACATTCTTTTCTCTATTTTAGCAATGAGACAAAAGATGAAAGAAAGGAGTGCCAACTTCCTTTTCTTTCTTCCATGAATATACAAACTAACAGTTTAAATCTCTGCAATCTTGGTAATGAATCTACTGTATACCAAAAGGTTCAACAGTTATCTCCCCCATTTCTGTACTAAAGACCCAAAGATTATGTAAGCAACAATATGCTCAAAGAAGAAGTTATGTGTTGTCTAAGCCATTGCTAATTCTATTCCTCTTAGTTTGTTTCTAGTGTAGGGGCAAGTGTGTGGTCAGATCTATACAACAAAAATATAGAGAACTTTTTTTGTGGTGGGGGGGGAGATGACACTGCTATTTGTAAATAATTCTGTCTGAAAAAATAAAAGACATGCAATGGAAAAATATTTGTATTCCCATTCTTTCCTTTCCCCTTGGAATTTATGTGGGAGGATATGAATTTGTAATTATGGTAGACATAATTAAGTAACTCTGATTCCCTAGTTTTCATTGTGACATTTACATAAGTGCTTACGATATATCTTAATTAAATTCACTCCTCCATCTTTCTCCTTCATCCTCCTCCCCATTCTTGGAACAATTTAAACACATTTCATTGTACTATTTTCATCCATAAATACAGAATACTTTCACCATATTCACTATCCTTCACCCTTTCCTTATAACTTCCCCTATCCCACTGGTACCCACTCTCAGACAGGACCTGATTTACCTTCCTGCCTTTCAATTTTTGAAAAAAAAAATTTCCATGGTAGACCAATATCCTCCTATTTATGCTTCCCACCTAGCAGGGATAACAGGTTCACACCATGACACCCTGCTTTTTTTTTGGTTGAGATGGGGTCTAGTGAAATTTTTTCCCAGGTCAGGCTCAAACCATGATCCTCCTGATCTCCACTTAGGATTTAAGGCATGAGCCACCACACCTGGCTCAAGATCTTTTTTGAGATCTAGATTCCTCATATGAGAGAAGATGTGCAGAATGCCTGAGTCTGGTTTATTATGCTTAACACAATGATTTCTAATTCCATCCATTTCCCTGTAAATTGTTCTTTATGGACAAACAATACTCCACATTTTATTTATCCATTTATCTGTTGATAGGCCCTCATCTGATCCATAACTTGGCAGTTCTGAATAGTGCCACAATAAGCATGTGTGTTTAGGTATCTCTGTTGCATGTTGACTTACATTTCTTCAGTAATATGCTCAAGAGTGGTACAACAGGATCATATCATAGTCACCTGATTATTGACAAAGATGCCAAAAAACATAATTTGAAGGAAAGATATCCTCTCAACAAATGATGCTGGAAAACTGGATATCTACATGTAGAAGAATAAAACTATATCCCTCTCTCTCACCCTGTACAAAAAGCAATTCAAAATGGATTAAAGACCTTAATGTAAGACCTCAAACTTGAAAACTATTAGAAGGAAATAGGGAAAACACTTGAAG